TTTAGGCATGATCCAAAACATGCAGGAGAGGACTACCAAACCACTAGATCATTGGTACTGAGTGAGAACTGGCGTAATAAAATAAACTAGCTAAAAACGGTTTCACAAATTTAGGATCAATGTGAAAGTGTGAAATCCAAAGTTATATCGACTTCTAAGAAAATATAATGGCTAGTATGTAGCTTTAAAATCTCCACAGTGAACTTATAGATTAAGCAGGAAATTAAAGATGTAATATTCATGACACATGCTCGTATTTATCTATCCATTGAAAACATTTTGTTGGGAAATTATACTTAACCTCTAACAACTTCTCTGACTTAAGAGGAGAGGATGATGAAACAATGCAAAGATGATAAGGTAAATACAAAAGAGTGACATCTGAGAAAAGAAATTAATATTTGTTTAGTTGGCCAGGTGTAGGAGCATGCAAGCTTGTGGGCGTCTGACGTAGACCTGTAGGGCCACCATGGTTATTGTAGGTATGCTTGATGTATATACACATGTATACAAAAGTGTTATATAATTTAAATTATACACTTAAATCATCAGATGAGAAATGACCTTTTGATAATGGAAGTTATTATTTTATTTAATAGTTTTTATTTTGTAATTTGATACATTTTAGATTATAAATCAAGAAATTTATATATGTATCATTGTATTAATAAAAAAAAATCTACCATCTACAATCCTATTCCCTATTCTACATCTAGTTAACCTAGTTTTGATATCTCTAGGGACTAGAGAAAGTAATTCCTCACGTACACGCTTGCCTAACTGGACTGGCGTTGTAAAAACATCCATCTACTTGTATTCTCAGTCAAGACTGCAATTTCCGTGAATATTTTCTCATTTGAAGTCAAAGAAAGAGCCTCTCTGAAGTCAGTAGTTTTGTTCAATATGATTGTGAGGCTGTTAAATTTTACATGCTAGTGTTCATCCTTATCTGTTCTGTTTTCTTCCATAACATAACTTCCGCGAAAGTGACTCTATGGAAAATTGTATAGACATATCGAGTAGTTAACTACCAAACTGCATTTTCCAAGGGAAAAGTTTGCTCGAGAAAAAAGAACTATCTTTGTTGCATTCATCTTCCGCTGTACTAGTAATTAAGAATCAGAAGCAGAGGAAGGTAATTTCAATTTTCTATGAAAAGGACAAGTTATAAACACCATAGTTTGAAAACAGAATCAATATATATATATATATATATATTAAAAAAGAAAAAGGATCTTTGAGTGCCATTAGAGTTGATTAGCCATGTTTTATGGCCTTCGAGACTAACCTGCACACATGCGCATTGTAAGAACTAAGCAGGCTTTCAAGGTTCCAGTTCCAAATGTTCTAGAATGGTATATGCTAAGCTTACAAAGTTATCAGTAATTCAGATGCTAATATATTCTTAGCTAATCTTCTAATCCCAAAGTAGAGTAAAGGGGAGTTACCTAATGTAATTCATTCAGATGAATATAGATTTGAGTTTGAACTTTGATAACAAAAACATGGCTGCTCCAATACAGACCTTAAGCTGAATGTTAACTAAGAAATTAAGAAAAACTCAACATCTAGCGGGTAGAGATGCTGACCAAAGTTGGGTATAATGATGGGAAGGAAGAACTTCTTGCATTTCTCCCTTTTGGATGTAATGAGTACTGACATGTGTGCCTTCAGGTGCATGTATATGAGATTGAATGTGAGGGAGCGCCAGCTTGTAATGCAGCGTATGGTAAGAGATTCCAATGGAGAAAGTCAAAAGAACAGGGGTGATGAGAAATTTTCTCTTAATCAGCATCAATGATTATGGATTTCATCATAGCTGTAATACATTTAACATAATTACTGCACTGAGTGAAACGAAATTATTAATGCAGGGCTGAGGAACAAACAAAATCAATCCACAAACTCTGAGAAACTCGACACTGACGCAAATACACAATCATTTCAACGCATGAAATCCGGTTCCCATTAAGAAAATCAGATACAAATCATAAAGGATTAGTATTTTAGAAAGAAGAAATCAAAATGCTGTCAAATACATTTGTCAATGTTTTAGAGTCCCAGTGAAACATATAATTAAAAGAGCCGTTAATAAATAGAATAATTTTTTAAAAAAAAGAGGGAGAAATTTAGTAACGCTATCTTCATGATCAATCAGATCAGAAATTGCACGTTAAAAACAAAAATGGAGAACGTATGGAATTTTCATTGGCATAATAAAAGTTAAATTATATGTATTTATTTATACAATATCTTATTAGTTTTTGGTTGAAATGGAGTTTTTTGACTTCCACGTCTACCGGTTCTCTCAAAAATCACCTTTCTTGAATAATCTAAAATAAGCCAACATAAATTGATGTCATTCTATAGTAAGATAAGAAGCTCCATAACAAATATAACTCTCCAGTTCAACTAGTAGCAAAGCTCAAGAAATTTATGAACTGAAACAAGATATCCAGCATTCACTGTAAATTGAATAACCCAGCAACTGTGAATCACCAAGAAAAGAACAGTTTCAAAGTGGCAGTTTTCCGGACAAGTAGAGGGAAAGTTGATCCCTCATGGTTGAGGCAGTATTGTCGACTGATTCACTCCTTTGTTGATGATAACCAGTGTCATGATGGTGAGACAAGGGCATATCATCCATCACCTCATCCTCCATATCGATGAGGATGTTGTGCAACAAGCAGCAAACAAAAACAATCCTTGGCAACCTATTCTTATCAGGCATCCACATCACTCCCTGTATTATTTTCCACATCTCCTTCAGCCTTGTTAGTGCCATCTGTGCCACCATTCTTGTTGCAGAATGTCGCTTGTTAAACTCCACTTGGAATTCTGAGAGGCCTTTTCCTTGGTAAGGAGTAAGTAGCCATGGCAATAAGGGAAACCCTGCATCCCCTACTATATATTCCCTTAGCTCAGTTCCCTCTGACAGCTCTACCTTCTTCCCATTTAGCCTTTTCCCCTCTTCACAAAGTTTGAAGAAACTTGAGCTCCTTAGGACCATGGTATCACTTAAACTTCCTGGCCACCCAACAATAACATCACGCAATCTCATCTCTGGGTCCACAATTGCCTGCAAGATCATGCTATAGTTCTTCTCACTATCAAACCAGACATCATTTGAGGGGTCCATTGTGGGCAGGGTCATGACAATGTGTGTAATGTCAAGTGCACCGCAGCAATTAGGTAGGCCCCGAATTCTCTCAAACTTAGACTTTATCTCTTGCATCTCTGCTTCAGTTGAAGGCCAGTGGAGATGCTGCAGTCCTCTTTCCTCCATTGCTTCCACAAACCGCCAGGTTATCTGGGAAACAGTTGATTGGTTCATCCCAAAAGAATCACCAATGTTTGATAATGATTCACCAGAACCAAGCCTCCTAAGAGCAACTGCTACTTGATCATTTAGAGACAAAAGCTTGCCACTTGAATCTGAGAAGGTTGATTGCCTAGACATCATATCTTCCTTCACAAGTGAACAGATGTAGTCGAATGTCTTTCTTGAAATTTTTAGAACTGATTCAAATTTCTTTGAATTCTTTGTTTGAGATAAAGGACCTAAGAGTAAAAATAAGAAATAACATTACTTCATTTGAGAAAACTCATTTTCCTCTGGTAAAAACCATAAAAGAACAGAAAGTAACTTTACATGTATGTAAATCTTGATATTTATGTCAATATTCATATTTAAGAAAGATGCAACTAACTAATCTTTTTTCTACAACTACATCTATTGTCATGACCAGCTATTTTTAGTCAACACAACACTCAAGAGTCTTGCACAGAAAAATCAACACAACAAATTCAATTGAATAAAATCATTAAAATATCTATGAGAGCAAATTCAGAGAACTGCTTAACCATAATTCTACCTTATTTGTTTGGCTAATAACCTCTTAAAAATCAAACACTTTAACTGCATACAAGCCCTGGTATGCCATGGCTCTAAGTATGTGTTTCTCAAGCCCATGCAGAGCAGAAAATCTTTACATTTTACAACAGAGAGTCACCGAATACAAGGCAATTCAGGATACTTTATCACTCTGTTATGTTTCCTAGTACAGAATGCTCAATCCAGCTGTTCATCTAAGATTTTCAAATATCTTCTACATTCATTTTCTTCATATTTGTTTCTTGTTTATGAATTCCATCATATGAAAATAAAAGGAAAAAAAAAAATTTTGAAAGCAGTTAAAGAATGCCTAAATTCTTCTGTTTGGCTGTTCCCAAAAGACTACTGCAGAGGTTATTGCAAGAAAAATATGATCAAGTTTTTTCATTAAAGTCTCTTGACATTTCTACTAGAAATATGCTCAACTTGATAAATTCTCCAACAAACAATAGCATTACAAGCATAGAAACTATCATAAGAACAATCCCAATGCATCTACCAATGACACAAGAAAGAATTCTGTTGGTTACAATAGTCAGAAGCTGCAAATCTTCCATCTCATGCATAAGGAAAATGAAGATAATGATTTCCTTATATTTTGATATATTAAAAGGGATAGGTTTCAATGGTTAGATGCAACCTAAAATGCAGAAACAGTGAAACATATTAAATTCATTGAAATTTGATAATCAGGTTGCAGCGACTCAGCAAAGCCTATTATCCATGGTTAGCCATTCCACCCTCCATCCCTGCACCTTCCAATTAAGCTCTATCTAGGGTGCAGAATATGAATCAAGTCCTTCCTCTTTCAGAACTTATCAGAACATTATGCATGAAAGCAATTATGATTATGTAAATGATGTAAACCTTCATGCATGTAGTGTGAACAAAAGCTAATTAAGCACAATAGATGTGCTTACATTGATTTATATTAAAGGCTAGCAATGAAATATCACATATAGAACAAAGTAGCCTACTGACATTCTTTGTTGTCTATCTCACTACTCAAACTTAACCTTTAGAGATTAGCATGCCAAATTTCAATAGTATACATTAGGATCAGATTTTCACCAAGCCATGAAAAGGTTTTAAATTTATATTATCCTAATCACAAAAATGTGTATCTGATTATATCCTGACATCCTTGAAACATAATTCCTGGTATGCTAATAAAGATTAACATTTCTATCTTGAACCAACGAAAGGTCAACAGTCATCATACAACTAGACGGAGCACCAAGCAAGATATATAAACTTGATTTGTTAAGACACATCCACCAAAGTGTATTAAATTTAAATGAATAGACATTGAGATATCAAACTAGTTATTCACATTGAACTTAACCACACCATTGGATTCAACAAGAAAGAGTCAAAACCTAATGAAGCCCTTGGCAACATATCACAAGGGAAGTCACGGAGAGCAATATCAATGTACTAGATCAACCAACATATGCTTAAAAATGTGAATAATCGAGAAAAGGTAAGTAAAGATGCAAATATTTCAAAGCTATAAAGAATGTAGCCCAGCAAATCAGCCATTCAACATCCACAACATTCAATGCATACTACAGGATTACATAGCTGAAAGTATGCATCAAAACTCAATCATGGAAACCCAATTCAACTTATGTCAAAAAATTTCACTAATGTACAAAGAAAACCCAACAAAAGCCCTTCTAATCACTACAATAAACTTGTTCACCAAGAAGAACACCAATGCTTAGGAGCAACAAAACCCGAACATAACAAATCAATCCAGAATATCAAACAATACACATAATATTGAATGGTTAGAGAATGTTATACCAGAAATCCTCTTGGAGAACTCCTCCCACCAATCCAAGGGGGGCTGGGGTTGCGACCGCAGAGGAGCAGAAGCAGCATCGAGGACATCCTGGTCAAACTTCTTCTCTGCTTTCTTTTTTCTCTTCAACCCTCTAATGGGTCCCATCCCATTCAAACCCACCAGGAAATACTATACTGGAGACGGGTCAAGACTCGGAAGACCCAACAAGAAAGATCAAAGAATCTCAGAGAAATCAGAGCAGAAACAAAGGAAAGATAGATGCTTTATGGTTGTTAGATTCTGGTTTAGGGAATTCAGAGCATGCAATGATATGAGCAGTAGAGAGCAAAGGCGTCGAAGATGAAGAGAACAGGAAAGCAAAGCTATGGTGCGCAAGTGACGTGAGGTGATTTTAGTTTTGGAGGAAAGAGAATGTAGCCAGAGCAGGCCAACAATGGGCATGTATTGTATAGCTTTGAACGGGGCATGCTGGTTGCTTTCTTCTTGTTTACCTTAATAATAATCCTCTTTATTTATTTATTTATTTATTTTTCAAATCATATAATTTCTTTGATATTTTTTTCCCCTTTTATCTGCATATAATTTTCTTGCATTTGTGGAGTTATGGTAGTAAAAATGAATTTACCCATAATACAAAAAATTTTCACATCTTCTATACTTTATAATAAAAGTTTAAATTTATACTTCTCTTCTCTTTTTTTAAGCTTTACAGGCTTGAACTACTTGATATATTATATATTTTTTTAAAAAAAAAGAAAAAATTTTCTTGTATTTTTTTCACATTTATTTATTATTTTGATTGAATATTCACTGTAGCTTAAAAATTGATTTTTTTTTTCTCATTATTTGCTAGGTTTAACCGGAACTTTAACACTAAGTAGATACCTTCATGACTTATTAATGTCATCACCGATTTTATTAAAAGAGGAAAGGAGATGGAGAAAAAAATTTCAATCCGATCAGTTTAATTTCAGGAGAAATTTCGGCATTTATGTAAGCAATTTTTTTAAGGTACAGGCTGCTGGACAGGTTAA